ATTTGGTTAAGAAGGTATTTTTATTTTGAACAAGGGAAATTTTTGAGAGAAAAAAAAAATTACAATTATTTTAATAAAAATTTAAACTTTAATATAAATTAAAATATTTAATACCCATTATCACCTCACTAAGGCTGCTGCCGCAGTTAAGAAAGTAATTCAGCCATTACACATGACATGAATTAATCAAAGCTTTTTGACCACTTTCACCACTTTTTCCATGTAAAACTATATTCTTTCTCTCTTTGGGCACCCATATTCATTTATTTTTCACTGCATGTAGAAATGTAATTAACTTATTTTTTAAAGATATCATAAAACAGATTACACAGTTAAAAGAAGAAAGTGCCAAGATAATTAAAGAATTAATTGTAATGGCAATGATATATTTAGAATATTATGTAAGATTAATGTGTTATTTTTTTATATATAAAAGAGATTATGTTAGATAAATAAAATTAAGATTACATATGAATTCTTATACTATAACATGTATAGCAAAGTATAAGCATATCCTATAGTACTAAATACAAATATAAACCAGAAGGAAAATGAAAAATGAAGATATTTTGATATTAAAAATATCAATACGTTTAATAACAGTCACATGATGAATTTAATAAAATTAGAGTTTACACTTTACCTCATATATTTAATAGTTAATGGTATATTATGATATTTTTAATATGAAAACATCTTGATTTTTCATTTCCTCTAAATTATATCCAAGATGAATATAAATAATTAAATATGTAGAATCATCTCATTTACAAATTACATCAGTAACTACTTTAGGGGCATAAATAGAATTACCAACATTGAAATAAAGTATTGGTAAATTTCTAGACCTACCAAACATTTTCAATTGGTATGCTAACTTTTTGAAGAGAGCAAGTACTTGAGATAACAATAATCTCCACTCACCAATGGTTCCACTATATTAAGCTTGCCTTAGGATCCAATTACAAGAGAAACAACAGAAGAAAAAGAAACAGAGGGAGATTTTAGAACAAAAGAAGACACCCAAAGGAAAGAGCTAATTACACAACTAGGTTAATTTTTTTCCTATCGGGTAAAAGAGAGTAAAAGAAGAAAGAAGAGGAGGAGAGGAACGACCGCAAAAGACCACCCTTCCCCTAGCTTTCTCATGCTAGGGTTCTTTAGCATAACAACTCACCAACCAAACAACTCCTAACTATCATTTTGTTTGAATAGTCTCTAAATTAATCATTTCTTTCTTTATTT